GTGGGTCTAGAACGCCATTCTCGAATACTTACTATTTTTAGCAGGTTGGGCCCAAAATAATGTTTGGGCCGCCCGACCTTCCTCAAATTGTCTTGAAAGATTATGTATCACTATTTAGATAATGTTGGGCTCTTTTATTTATTAATAAGTCCCGAATAAGTATTTGCAAAACCCGACACTAATGTACGAGTTTGAACAGTACGATATTCAACCATGCACTACGTAGAACATTAATCGTTTTACAATTGTTGGGAGATCGGAAATTCAATACATAAATTTGAATTTAGGTTGAATTTTCAAGGACGTTCGGGTGCGGTGTCACAAAAAGTTCCCATTTCCCTAAATGGAAAGTTATCCTACATCAAAACAGTGTCACACAGTGCGAAACAGTGCCAAACAGTGCCAAACAGTGTCGAAACAGTGCCAAACAGTAAAATTTACCCCTCAGTAACTTTATTTCCTAAATATGTGTGAAAGTCAACCCGGGAACTTCTCCCTGGGACGGAGGGAGTACTTCTTTTAGCCGGATATTAACAAGAGTCCATACAAAAATAAAGAAAATGAAAGAAAAGAATAACAAAAATAATTTAGACTGGTAAATAAAGCATAGACGACACACCACATTCGATCTAAAATAATTAAATGTTGGGTTAAAGGCTTGGCAAGTTTTTTCTTAACAAAAATAATATTTTTTAAATAATATTTTTTTTAAAAAAAATTGTATGTAATTGATTTAAAATTGAGAATTTACCCTAAATAGAACTAAAAACGTTTGTAAATTCCAAAATAGGGCTGTCATGCTTTTAATTCTCCAAATGGGACTAATTATTGTCATGTTTTGACAGTACCAGACTTTAAACATGACAATATTTTCCAAACTTGGCAGTAATTACTCCTATTTTGGGAATAAAAACATGACAGTCCTATTTTGGAATTTACAAACGTTTTTGTTCCCATTTCAGGAACTTTCACTTTAAAATTATATCTTAACTTAATGTTTAAAAGTCTTTTTTGTAAATCTTGACGTCCCCATTTTCCCGTCTCCAACTTTTCTCCTACATATCAATGTTCCCAAAAGGTTGAGTCCTCAATCCCAAAGACCCCACGCCTTGACCCGACTAGACATTTAGGAGGTTGTATAGCATGATGACTCAATCAACCTAATGATGGTAAACATTGTACCTGAGCTACCCGTGCATCTTTTCTCCTACATACCAATTATAAAATAATGCCACCTCATAGCACCAACACCTCTAATCGCCAGAAACTAAATGTCATCTTGTGTAAAAAAATGTCATATTTCTCTGAAAATGCCATGAAAATGAAATTTTTACTCTTTGAAAATATCGAGTTTTCTTTCCAAAATTGTCATCACGATGACATTTTCCCCTAACTTGGCAATCTTTTCCGGCGACCGGAGATGACGATGATGGAAGGTGGCTGAGGTGGTGGTTGAGGCCCGTATATTTTTTATTTATTTTTATGATTTTGTTTTTATTTTATTTTAATTTTTTGTGTTTTATATTGATTATTTAAAAAATCCTATTAAGAAGGACAAGGGTAAGAGTTAGTCCTATTTTGACAATTTGAACTTTAAACTCCCATTGTTGCAATTATTCTACTCCCTCCGTCCCGCTATGATTGTCCCGTTTTACCTTTTTGGTCCGTCCCACTAAGATTGTCTCATACCTTATTTGGTAAAGTTTGTGTGGTTCTAAATCATTCTTACTTTATTCTTACTTTATCAATTTAATATCAACCACATAAACTCACTTTTATTAATAACCGTGACACCTAACCAAGCACTTCAGCCTAGCTGGTTGCGAGGTTACCGTGCCTAGTGGGAGGTCTCGAGTTCGAATCCCGCTAGGCACACAAAGGGTTGAAACTCAATGGAGTGAGGTTCAGCCCTGATTACTCCAGGCTCCCCCCAGCCCCCCTCCCCCAGACCCCCCTGGAGTTAAAAAATAATAATAATAATAATAATAATAACCGTGACACCTTTTCTTGTCTCAAACTTAGGGGGACAGAGATAGTATTATTTAGTCTTATTTATAGAAATCTTCTTTTTTCTTGAAAATATAACCTGAAATAGGAGTAAAAAGTTTGAAAAGTCCAAAATAGGACTGTCATGTTTTTATTTCCAAGATAAAATTAATTATTGCCATGTTTTGGCAGTACCAGACTTCAAACATGGCAGTATTTGAAATTTGAGGTTATATTTTCAAGAAAACAGTCGGAATATAATTTTAGGGGTCTCCATTATTTTCGCATGAAATTTGAGAAAGCGAGTTTCGGCATGAAACTCAAGAAAATCAAATTACAGAAATAAATTATAGGGAGTATATATATATATATATATATATATATATAAAATAAGAATAATCATTGACAATTTATACTTCCTCCGTTCTTTTTTAGTTGCAACGGTCAACATTTCACACTTGCCAACGCACATCTTTGACCGTAATTATATCTTAATCTTTATTAGTAAAAAATATTTAAAAATTAGATTTTGAAAATTTGTAATGAGATGAATTGAACAATATAATTTTAAAAAAATAATTTTCATAAAATAATAATATAAATTGTAGTCAAAGTAGAACATGTGAATAGTGTAAAATTCAACATGTTGCGATTAAAAAGAGACGGAGGATAGTATATGTGATCAATGCGCCATACCAAGTCAAGTCATCAATGCGCCATACCAAGACAGGCAACCAGTTAACCTCTTGCCCATAATGTGAAGTGCTTTAAATTACACTATGTAGTCGTAATCTATATCATTGTTTATTACACAAAGTTCATTGTTCATAAACACTGTTTTGTACGTACGTAGTACTCTCTCCGTCTCCTTTTAAATGGGACGGGAGATGGTGGCACGGGGTTTAAGAAAAGTGAGTTTGTGGGATTGATATTAATTGATAAAGTAAGAATAAAGTAAGAATGATTTTGAGCCACACAAAGTTTACCAAATAAGGTATGAGACAATTGAATAGGGACATCCCAATATGGTAAAACGGGACATTTAAAAGGGGACGGAGTGAGTACTTCTTAATACTCCATAGTAATTTTAGAGGATTTATATAAGTTTACCCTAGAAAGAGAAAGCCCATTGTTACTATTTTTAATAGTAATCGATTTAATTATAAGGGTAGACGATTGTTATTATTTTATCTATTCAATCCCGTATAATGAATAAAAAATGGCTTCCACTCTTGTTGAATGAATAAGCACACCAACTTTTCAGCAAGATTAAGGTTTCTTATAATTTGGTCGAACTTGGATGTCATGTTTGGGATTTGGATATGTGATTTTATTAAAAATGGTGTGTTTATTTTAAAGATGCCTTTATTTTATCTATCAATCAAACATAGGATATCACACAAATATTATATGGATGGAAATAAGGTAATGACAAAGTATAAAAAGGCATGAAAAATAAGAAAAATATAACAAATATATGCAAGAGAAGGAGAATAATAGAAAAGGTATGAAAAAATGAAAGAGTAATGGTGAAACTTTCAAGAGTCAATTCCCTAAATAGGACTAAAAAGTGGCAAAATTGCACAAATAGGACTACATTTTTTAAATTCCCTTACTAGGACTATTTGTGTGTGTTTGGCCAAATATACCCTTGTAACTTGTGAAATGTTTTAATTAATAATAAAATCATACAAAAATAATAAAAATCGAAAAAAATACTAAAAATCGTAAAAATATAATAGAAAATTAATAAAATATTTTTTTAAAAAAAATTAAAAAAAAATATTTTTTAAAAAAAAAATAAAAAAAATAAAATAAAAATCGTAAAATTAAAAAAAAAACATTACCACCCCTGCCACCCCCCAGCACCACCAGCTCCCATCACCGGAGAAAAATATGCCAACATTTTAAATAATGCCATAATGATGGCATATTCAATGAAAATGTTGGCATATTGAAGAGTAATTATGCCATCTTTTTGGCATTTTCAGAAAAAGATGGCATTTTTTTACCAAAAGTGGAAGAAATTTGACCAATCAGAGGTGGTGGTGCTGGGAGGCGGCGGATGGCGGTGGGAAATGTATCCATAATTTTTTTCATTTTTTATGGGTTTTTACTATTTTTTATTATTTTTAAAAAAAAATTTAAAAAAATAAAAATTAAATTTTTTATTTTATAAATGTTTTATAAATTTTTTATAATTTTTTTACGTTTTTTAAATATTTTTTACGTTTTTTTATGATTTTATTATATATTAAAGCATTTCATTATGAATTAATACTCTTAGGGGTATTTAGGGTAGAAAATCTATGTTTAGTCCTATTTAGGAAATTTAAAAGTAGTAGTCCTATTTGTGCTTTTTAGGAACTCATTAGTCATATTTAGGACAATTTCACAACTTTCAATAATGAAAAGCAAGTGAAATGATAACATCCCAAAAACATGACTATAATAATTTAATACTCCGTATTACAAAACACATACTACTTCTATTCTTTTTTAATTGTAACGTTGGACTTTTGCATTATTTACATATTCTACTTTGATTATATTTTATTTATTACTGTATTATATTATAAATTAAATTTTTTAAAAATATTTTTAAACTCTTGTCATTCTAAATTTTCAAAATCTATTTTTTTAAAAATAATAATAATATTACGGAATGAAAAATATTAATGGTCAAAGTTGTGTGTGGACAAATGCGAAAAGTGGACTGTTACAATTAAAAAGGAACGGAGGAAGTATGCTATATTATTATTTTTTGTTAAGAAGTGCATTGTTATGTAAAATAATACTCCGTAGTCCATACTAAGAAAATCAAACTAACAATTTTATTTTAGAAAGGTGGGGAGGATTTCCTAATTCTGTCTTTGAACAGACAAACAATAAAAAATAAAAAATATGTTCGCATATAAGGAGAATTGAATTTTGTTTGGGCTAGAAGCATATACGGAGTATTTCCTTTTGTTATTGTCGTTGTAATTTTCCACCCAATTTCCAGTATAGATTCGCCAAAACTCAAAAGCCATAAAACATTCAACTACTTAAAGTGTGCTTAGTTGAAAAGTCCGTTTGCCCATCATTCTGGCAATTAAACCCGTCACAGCGGATTGAATCCTTTTCTCCCCACATCGACAGATAAGCTGGGAAACTCTGCATTCATCAGCTCTCCTTTTTAATATTCCTTGTAATCCAATCCACAGCAAAATAACCAACCACTAGTTGTTTCAGACTTCTAGTGGGCATTTAAATCTTTTGACAGATAAACTGGGCCCTGGGAAGAGAAGATTTCAAACCTTTGGCATAAAGATGATAATTTCTTGGACAATTGCAAAGTACCCTTTACAATACAATTCATATGTGTTTTTCTTTTGCTGTCATAATTTTGCTCCTCTCACTTTTTGTATTTCTTTCCTGTCTTAAAGGTTTGACCTTTTTTGTTCTTCCTTTCCATTTCCATAGTTCAAAGCTTTTGAGCCAGTTTCTGAGTGGGAAAACTGAAGTTGTCTCACTTCTCTGGTCAACTTTCCACAACCTCAAATTGATATACGAAAGTTTTGAGCCAAATTTTACTTCTAGCTGTGGCCATGGATTCAAGGGTGTTCTTAATTTTACTGTTCACATGCCTGTTGTTCATATTCCTGCCTGAGTGTTGTAGGGCTAGCATTCAAAACCGAGGCAGGTTGGAATTAGGATTCAAAGGCTCTCAGATGACATGGATAGACAGAGATGGAATGATTCTGGTATCCAATAATTCGAAATTCGCATTCGGGTTCCACAAAACAGCAGATGTCACTTTGTTTCTGCTTGTTGTGATGCATCTGAGCAGCCAAACTCTGGTATGGTCTGCCAATAGAGCTTTTCCTGTAAGAAATTCTGATAGTTTTTCATTTGATGACACTGGAAATGCCTTTCTGCAAAGTGGGGGATCTACTGTCTGGGGGACGAACACGGGTGGCAAAGGGGTTTCTGCAATAGAATTGAGAGACTCTGGGAATCTAGTTCTGGTTGGAAATGACAGTAGAAGCATTGTTTGGCAGAGTTTTAGCCATCCTGTGGATACTCTTTTGTCAAACCAGGATTTTGTTGAAGGTATGCAGCTTTCAACCAGTCCAAACTCAAATAACCTAAGCTATTCCCTTGAAATCAAGTCTGGCGATATGTTACTTTCTGCTGGCTTCAAATCGCCACAGAGATATTGGGCTATGTCAAGTGAAAACAGAAAAACAATAAATAAGGTTAGGGGAGATATTGTTTCTGCTACCCTTGATGCTAATTCTTGGAAAATGTATGATGAAAGCAAAGAGCTAATCTGGCAATTCATTTTCTCAGACAGCACCGATCCAAACGCTACGTCAGTTGCAGTTTTAGGAGATGATGGTGTTTTGACTTTTTCTGTTCTTGAAAGTGGGAGTTCATCTGTCACTTCCCCAACAAGAATACCCCAAGATGAATGTAGTAGCCCGGCAGCTTGCGATCCGTTTTTCGTTTGTTATAAAGGGAAAAGGTGTCAATGCCCTTTGTCTATTCCCTCTTGCAAACCCGGGACTGATTCCTTGTGCCACAAGTCAAAGCCAGTGGAGCTTGTAGAGGCTGGCAATAGTCTCAGTTACTTTGCACTTAAATTTGCTTCTTCCTCTTCCACGGGTGATTTGAACAGCTGCAAAGCCTCCTGCATCCAGAATTGCTCTTGTGTCGCCGTTTTCTTTGACAATAGCATGCAACATTGTTTCTCTTTTGACCAGATAGGAAGCATGCAAGGGTCGGTCGCTAGCGCTGGTTTTAGTGCCTATGTCAAAGTCTTGAGTGGTAGTCAAACTTATGGAAATGGTGGAAACAGAAAAAAACATTTATCTGTTGTCATTATCATTGTCATATTTACGACACTTGTATTATTCGCCCTACTTTATGGAGGTTTGCGTTATCACAGAAAGAAAATCAAGAAATCTCCTGAATCTCCCAAAGAAGGTTCGGAAGAAGATAACTTCTTGGAGGGCGGATTATCAGGGATGCCGATTCGTTTCACCTTCAAAGACCTCCAGAATGCCACAAATGACTTCAAAGTTAAACTCGGACAGGGTGGGTTCGGTTCGGTTTACAAAGGAGCTCTCCCCGACGGGACCCAAGTGGCGGTGAAACAATTGGAAGGCCTTGGGCAAGGGAAGAAAGAATTCCGGGCTGAAGTCAGTACAATAGGAAGCATCCACCATATACATCTTGTGAAGCTTAGAGGCTATTGCGTCGAAGGAGCCCACAGGCTTCTTGCGTATGAGTACATGGCAAACGGATCCTTGGAGAAATGGCTTTTTCGCAATAACAAAGAAATCCTGCTGGATTGGGATACGAGGTTTAGCATTGCACTCGGTACAGCTAAAGGCCTGGCCTACCTTCATGAAGACTGTGACTCTAAGATCGTGCATTGCGATATTAAACCTGAAAACGTGCTATTGGATGACAATTTCCACCCGAAAGTCTCGGATTTTGGTCTGGCTAAGCTCATGACTAGGGAGCAAAGCCACGTGTTTACCACCTTAAGAGGAACTAGGGGATATCTTGCACCGGAGTGGATCACAAATTACGCCATATCGGAGAAGAGCGATGTGTACAGCTATGGGATGGTGCTGCTTGAGATAATAGGGGGGAGGAAAAACTACGACCCCACACAAAGTTCCGAGAAATCCCATTTCCCATCCTATGCTTATAAGATGATGGTGGAGGGGAAGCTTAAGGATGTTATTGACATGAAACTGAAAATCGATGAGAATGATGATAGGGCTTTGACAGCTATAACCGTCGCTTTGTGGTGCATACAGGATGAGATGCACCTAAGACCTTCCATGACAAAGGTGGTCCAAATGCTTGAACGTGTCTGCCCCGTCACAGCCCCACCTACATTTTGTACTCTTGGAAACCGGCTTTTTTCAAATGCCTTTAAGTCGTTTAGCGATACGGGCACTTCGTCGGAATACAATAGCAGCGATGCTCATCTTTCCGATGTTCGGCTTTCGGGGCCAAGATAACAGATGCTGCTATACGTTCTTTGGTGAGTCTTCATGTGTTTTTATGTGCTGGAAAAAACTCCACATATTGATAGTGTTCATTACCTTAATGCACTGTAAATAAAATAATGCTTATTAGATTAGCAGAACTAGAGCTTGTGATTCCTCCAAGAACTGTTTGTTTTGTGTGTAAATGTATTTTTAACATCAGTCATATTATACAAAAATTGCCTCTGAGTTTCTTACTATTGAATTCCCCCAAGTCCTTTGGGTGATGCAATCCAAAAACTCAATATGAAGGTCGTACTTTTCTCATGTTGTTCTATAGTACTTGAGGTTGTTTTTTTATGAGGATGTACATATACACACGTCAGGGGAAAAATCTAATAAAACGGGATTAATCATATTTAATCATATTTTATCATTAAGAGAATTATTAGTGATGTGGCTAATTGCTATTTGGAGCATGGTTAAGTGAGAAGGATGTTAATAAAATATCTGATATCAAAATATAAATTCAGACTATTTGTGAAATTTGAGTTAGTTAGTTAATGCATAATTAACTATGGTGTGAGATTATTCCTAAAAGCTATGTGGCAATAATTTAAAGGTAAAATTTATAAACATCTCTTTGTGTGGGAAATATGAATGTGGATGATGAGGCTCGATATTAACATCTTTTATAATTTCAACCTGTCATCAAACACAATGACATCTCCACTTTACCTATGATGCCACTGAAGGTAACCATTATGAGTATTCTCAACATGTCATCTTCCACCTCACAACCTCACTTCATCAATTTTAGACATGAAAATGAGTCGGGATGGGGCGGGTAGTGCAAAACTCAGACCTAGCGCTTGACTTTACTAAATAGGCCTGCCTCGCGCGTGATCGACACACACGAGTCACTAGATATTGGTCCATGACACACTCGTCGTAACCTAATTAACTAGTGTGCATTATCTATTTGCGTGAAATTGTTATAACTCAAATAAACATAATGTTTATTTCTGAGTAATTTAAAAAAGAGTTTTTAAAAAAGAAAAATGTGAATTAGCCCTAGCGAGAACTGAGGGCGCGAAGCTTTCGTCGTCTTCGTGCGGCGCTGGGTATCGACGCATCTCTGGCGTCGTTTTGTGCGGTTTGGACAATTGCGGTAGTAGGGCGATGAAGGACGGATCAGATGGCAGATGCAGGGATGGCCGTGATCGAGAGGAAGAGTAGGTGGGTGATCTACGGATAGATAATGATGGGGTTTCTGAATCCGACTTCGGGGCGACAACGAGAGAGGTAATCAATCGAGCGACGAAGGTCCGGCCTCCTCCTGAACCACCGCCAGGGGTTGAACGAGGTCCTAGGGTTCAAGTCATTTATTTTGCTTATTTAGTTTTTCTCATGTTTTGTCCTCCTCCGATGAGATTTTATTATTTTGTCATTTGGTTTCTCGTTACTGTCTATGTTGTTAGGTGTGTCAGTTTGTTTGGGATTTTAACCTTTTTCATGTCATTGGGTATGTTTGGATCTTTGGAAACAGGGATGGTTGTGTTAAGCCCGATACATGGTTAGTGATTTGTGTTGCTCTTTCAGGGGTGACCGTCTGTAAGTCTGACCATAGGGTTTACAGTCGTAGTTGTTGGTGTCTGGTTGGTGTCAGATTTGTTATTCACTTCATTGATGTAATGATCCTGAAACTTATGATATGAATAGAGGCTAGTTTTCGTTCAAAAAAAAGGTAATTTAAAAAAGATACTACGTATATAATACCACCTCCGACCCACTAACATTGGGACATGAGGAGGCGATGTGATTTTTAGGATAAGTGTGTTTGTGTGATTGATATTAAATCGATAAAGTAAAACAATCTTAGTAGGACGAACTGAAAAGGAAAGATGCGACAATTATAGCGAGACAGAGGGGGTAACTTGAAGTCACAATACAATGAACAGTGTCAAAAATTAAGAAAAGTTACCTAGACTTGAATAGTTAAAAGGGTGTATTGAATATGGATTGTGTTGGATTTCTTTTAATCCATAGACTATTAAAAAAGTCAATGGACTTTTAAATCCATATACTTTTTTTATATGAATGAATTCTATTGACTTTTAAATTCATGAATAAGTTTATAAACTTTTAAAAAGTCCAGACTTTTAAATCCGGACCGCCACTGCCGGTCGTCGAAATTTTCACCTAGATAGTCACTACTGACTTGTCTGTCTGACTCCATCACCGGAGTTCGCCGCCGTCTTCATAAGACTGATCCGCCACCAACAAAATGATTTTGGCTATGCAAGGGAACTAGGGGCAATTAATTATATTAATTAATTAAAGTAGGGGTAGAAATGTAATATTTAGTCCTATTTAGAGAAAATCAACCATATGATCATACTTTGGGGAAAATGCTATGTTTTAGTCTTAGTCTGAGTAATTTAATTTCCTATGTATATTATGATAAGAAATAATTAAATAAATAAATTAAACAAATGTAATTCATTCAATAACACAGAATTCTACAAGAATAAATGAAGCACATGAATCCAAATTTATTTATATTAAAAAGAAAACTCAAAGTTTCGAGAATGCTCAACAATCTCGGGCTCTTTATTACACAACTCAATGAGTACGAACATTGTTCGTTACACAAACGTTACACTCATTGTTACATGTGGTAAAAGCATAGGTGCAATCGAGCTTTTCATCTTAATAATTGTTTTCTTTTCATTTTTAGTTTGTCCACTTTCGTATACTTATTTGCGGATATATATTTATTAATTTGAAATTTCATTTTTATGTGTTAACGGTTTAACAATGAAACACAATAATAGTTAAAATATTTTTTCTTAATGGTTAATTGGCAACATACCAGAACTACACCGATGTAATACTATCGATTCTTATATCAGTTCTTCTAAAAATTTCTAGAACGAAATCAATGTGGGATTAAAGGTTCTTCAAATGGTTCCTAATTTTCTTTCAAGAACTAAAGTGATCTCACCCTTAGAGATTTATTCGTAAGATAACATATATAATATCACCTCTTAATTTTTTTAAGTTTATCTTGTGTATCAGTATTAATGTAGAATCTTCTTGTTCAACTTTATTTATCGTAAAATGATATTTAAAAAAATCAAAATTTAATGTTCAAATCTTGCATATTGAAACCATAGTTAATGAGAATTATGGTTATTATAAGTCTAGTAAGCGTTATGATTTGAGGGTTGGGATTATGTAAGGTCTCTGGTTTCTAATATAATAATATAAGTGATTTTTTCGCAACAAAAATGTGATTTATGATACATGTATACATATATGTGTCTCTATGTGTATGCATATTTTTATATAGCTTAAAAATAGTTTATGTATATTTTTATATTGAGGGGTCGTATGTGTCAATTTTAATATCCAGACACGCCCCATCAGGTGCACGAGCGGGTTGGACTCACCCAATTGAAATTAAAGATAGAGCGGGATAGTATCGCCCAAAATGTCTCAGGATAGAGCGGATACTCTTTATAGATATGGTTTTTTGGCATGCCTAAATGCCTAATCACTTTTCTCTTTTCATTTCTTTTGTCTCTTCTTTGATTGACATCCGTTGTACAGTCGATCCACCATCAACATCACACATGCACAATAAGATATGACTCAACTTCTCTTGCCAAATTCCTTAATGCTATCTATACACGTCGACTTACACGCCCTTTTACATGCCAAATGTATTTTGTATGTGGCACATACTATACAGTTCATTTTGTGAGGGTCACAAATAATTTTTCTTTCCTAAACAGAAAATCAATTGTGTGTGCATAGACAAAATACATTTGACGTACTCCGTATAAGCTTACGTGTATGTGGGCGTGTACAAGTAGAACAATTGTTCCAAATTACTATTAGAGCATCTCCAACCCTCACTTTTGACAGAACCGAAATTTGCCACATATAAGAATTTAGAAAGTGTGTTAGTTTATTTTATCTCCAATGCCTTCTTTGGTGTGCCCTGTTAAGTCTACGTGGATTCGACGCTGTTAAACTCAATTTGGAGTTTTAGAAAGCGTGTTCAACATGATGACTCATCAAATAGAACTAACAATTGCTATTTTTCTGGCATCATACGGTTATTTACCCATAGTGGAGTAAAAATGGTTCCCAAAAATACACGTAACACATACAAATATATATATATATATATATATATATATATATATATATATATATATATATATACGAGTATATATATATATATATATATATATATATATATATATATGGGAAGAGATCAAATAAAAAGAGGTTCTCCCGTGCAAAGTGCGAACGGTTGCACTTTTTCTTCATCGCGTTGCACTTTTGCGTGTTTCTCCTGCACTTTTTCTCGATGGCAAAAAACTTCGCTTTAATTACGAAATTGCCACCGCGTTTTTGATCAAATACAGTTCACTTTTGGCTCATTTTGAGCCATTAGATCTAAAAATGAATGCATGAGATTAATTCTTACTTTGCATGGGAAGACCTCTTTGTATTTGAACCATCCCCACATATATATATATATATATATATATATATATATATATACACACACACACACACACATATAATTTGAATTTAGATTTTCTATTTTGTAATTCTTACTTGCATAATTTTTTATTGTGACCAATTTTTCTCTTCATTTTATGCATTATTGTGGTAGATGAATTTGTCTACAACTATTTTATTTTAATTTCTTTATCAACCGTGTTTGGCTTTATCCTATTCTTTCAATTCTTTTTACAATTTTTATGAAATATTTTCTATGTTTATTTAGTAATAATTAATAAGTGACGTGTGGTTATTTCAAGCTATTAACATTATGCATTGGGAGCCTTTTATCTCTTTCTTTTGATTTGTATATGACATGGTTTCACATTACTCTATTTTATTGACATTTGGCAAAATTTACTTCCTTTTGAAAGTAGAGCATTGAAGATGCTCTTACAAGTAATCTCAATTTGTCTCGACCTCAAAAACCTACATCATTTAATAATATTTTTAAACTAATTTTATTTCATTCTAGAAAACTATTTTTATATTCTTTCACACTACCTTCAAAAAAAAACTTTCACAATATTAAGTAAATCCAATGCAAACACATTATCCTAACTTTATCAAAATTTTACCCATGATTATATTCAACAATAGCGGGTCACCGGGTGTCATGGAGGATAAACTTTCAATATTGAAGGGGTTGGGATCACGTGTGTCATGGACTCATGAGTCATGAGAGCTGCTGAAACTTGAAACTACATTTCATTTTCCAATAGCGGTTCAAATCGCAGTTCCAAAATATCTCAGTAAAACCGTAAAAACAAAAACAACAAAATCAATCTACCTCTAAATTCTTCATTGGGACTTCAAAAAAATCTCCCCTGGACCCCTTTCTAGGCTTTCTCCATCTCTCGAAGCCCTTTCAGATCCTCGACGATTCAATGGTTCTTTGATCATTACAAGATTCCTCAGGTAAACCCATCGCTTGCGGATTAAAAGATAAATTACTGCATTTCGATTTCTCTCCCATATGTATATGTACATGTATGATGCATCTGTCTGTAATTAATCTGTGCTTGTAACTTTTGTGCGGATGTGTGTGCATATATCTAAGTTTAATAAATGGGAATTCTACCTGTCGTCCATCAGATAATGAATATGTGGCACGTAAAAGATTGGATCTTTTGTTATTGGGTTGAGAGATCTATAGGAATATATTCGATTTCATTAGTCTTGTCCTTTTGTGCTCAGCATTTTATTTGAAATGTCGGTAAAATTATATCCGCTTCTCATTGCTTTGGGCAGGTAATATTCTTCCTTCTCTGAATGTAATGTTGTTTCTCAAAGATTTAATTAAAAAAAACATTTTCTTCGAAGGGGAAGCAGAAAATGAGCACATTCCCTGCATCTCTCTCTATCTCCGTCATTGCTGATTAATGCAATGCTGGGTTTTCTGCTGAAGGGCTCATATGTAGGATTATGTAATTGAAATGAAGTTGAATTCTTGTGTAAGACTATAAGCATTTCGTTCATATGCATAAACATTTTAGCAATACTTACTATGAATAGTAGTTTGAATGAAGCTGTTGTTGCATCTTTATGCATATTTTGATATTTATTATGGTATATTGAAATAAATCAGCACTTGGTAGAATATACATTAGTGTCGTCTTTCTAATTTCCTTGGCACTGCTATTTGGGAAGTGAAAGTGGTGCAGTTTACAGATATTTTCCTTTACGTTTGAAACCTTATTTTTATTTGACATACGAGTATTACTTTTTACATCTCTGGAGAATGCACTATAACATAAAAAATCTTTGGAAGACTCAGTGTTTCATCCTTATTCTAGTAGTTGATAGGCGGCTATCTTGCAACGTGCAAACCTGATGGATGTAGATGATAACAAATCAATTGCTGAGAATGGAGTGGACCATGAACGGGAATTCCACCAACAACTTCCTAGTGATGAAGATGTTTTTGCTGATAAATCTGATTTGATTCCCAATGGACGTTCTACTAATGAAGACCTAGAGTGTGATTTGAAGCGCACTGTTAATTTGAATGAAGATGAAGCTCTTGACTCTTCTGTCCAAGATGCTAAACAAAGCCATGTGTCTGGCTCCAAGGTGTGTTTTTACTATTTAAGGAATTAATTATATCCTCTTAGACCCACATAATGTGTCATTCAAACTTCTTTATAATCAGCAGGATGCTGAATTATCCCGTTCTGGAGAGCCCAAGACTGGCAAAGTAGAAAAGTCTCTTGGAAAGCCTAAAACTGGTAAAGTTTTGAGCCTCATGGGATCAAAGAAGGGACAGTTTGGAAAAGATGTTTCTTGTGGTTCTGTCTCAAATGGTACAAGTGCCCCAGGATCACGGGATAAACAATCATCTGTGCATAGGTCTAAACCATTTGATGATAAAAAAACTGGTGATGTTGATTCAAAGACATCATCTGCTCTTGTCAAGACTAATAATGCTAAGGTAATAAATGTGTGTTCATGAAGTCATGATGGACTCTGGTGTACACAATCACTTCTCCTTTTATATGCTTTCGTTGATTAATGTGTATAATCATTTGTCAAATTCATTCTTGTTGGTAAGCAGCAGTCTGGACACCCTGGCAAAACATCTCCAAAGAGGGTTGAGCATCTTGAAGGGCTTAAGTATGTCATGTCTGATTCTAACATGCTTTTAAGTGACTTTATGTTACCTCGTGGTCATCCTTATACATTAGTTCAGCCATATTAGTAATTTACTATGAATTAACTAATTTTGTTAACCTCTAGTTGCAATAAAATTTTCTTCTATCAGCCTTCTGATATGTAGTTTTTTGTGCCAGAGAAAATCCTTCGCTGAAGCCATTGAAGAAAGGACCTCTAAGTAAAGCTGAAGTGGCCCAATCTGCTTTGTATATTCATCCACAACAATATTTTTCTCTCTACTTTAAGGGTCTGTTTGGAACCCGGAAATGCTTCGGAAATAAAATAGGAAGGAAAACATTGAGGAACGTTCGAAGGAAACAAAATGTGGGGGACAGTGAATGATTAGCTAAAACTCCTTAGATTTGTTTAAGATATTTATTCATACTCATTTATCAATTTCCTTAAAGATTAATTTTTTTTACTATTGGTAAAATCTTATATAAATAAATAACCATATTTGATTTCCTTTGCATTTGTCATTGAACAAACACATAAGAAAATATTTTTTTAGTAATTTTTTTCTTTTCCCTACCATTTTCTGGGATCCAAACATACCCTAAGACTTTCATAACTTGGGTTGCATTTTATTGTTAAGTTTCGTTTTTGTTATCTTTACCTACTTTACAGAAGTCCTACGATCGGGGATTCTAAGTCTTGCAGAGCTGGTGCTCTTCCAAATTATGGTTTCAGTTTCAAATGTAATGAAAGAGCAGAGAAAAGGAGAGAGGTTAGCTTTAGATTTCACTGCAAGTGAATTGGTGATTAATTTCACCTGGCGGTTATATGCTATATATCTCAGATTGAGTAAATTCATGTTTTTTTTTAGTTCTATTCTAAACTTGAGGAAAAGATCCATGCAAAAGAAATGGAGAAGAGTAATATGCAAGAGAAGACAAAGGTGTCTATCGGAATCATATTTATTGCACAGAGATTTAGTCTTTATGTTCTTGATAGTGTTATGCATTTGGTTTTTGTAACCAACATCATTTTTATTTCTGAATAGGAATCCCAGCAAGCTGAGATTAAAATGCTTAGAAAGGCCTTAGCTTTCAAAGCAACTCCCATGCCAAGCTTCTATCAAGAACCTCCACCTCCTAAGGTGGAGCTGAAGAAGGTCAGATCTGCTCATTTTGCATTGATATGTCATGCAAGTGTGTTTCTGTGTTATGTAGTGTTGAAACCAAAACGAATGTATATATAGTTATATACCTTTTGTGAGACCTTTTTGAGACATCGTGTGCTAGCTTAGTCATTAAATAAGAAGGATACCAAGGTGTCTTTGGCTGCTCTATGGAGGGTATAAAAAGTGTTTTAGTCACTAATAGAGAGTAAAAGCATAGGTGCAGTTCAACATTCCCTTCAAATAGAAGTATCATATGTTTTAACTTTTAAAAAGGTGCAGTTCACCACCTCCTAAAAACTAGAAGAAAAAAAGTATCATATATTCATATGTTTTAACTTTTAAGCTAGTTGCAAATATTTTCAATCCCTTGAACTTTAACATGCAATTTGAAAGATTGAACTTGGTTAATTGGTTTCAAACTTAAACTTAACTATAAGCTTGGAGATTGAACTTTGAACTCCCACAAATTTATTTCTTTGTTATGAACAGCGATGTCAACAGTTCCAGGTAGACTTTATTTCTTGTTAATGAGTAGTTTCTTTAATTAGGTTTCTAGGTTGCATTGAATGGTCAGTGCTTTTTTAAGATAAATAAAAATTGTAACTTCTCAAGGAATTTAGGATTTAAAATCCTCTCTAGTAATAAACGAAACACTCTCTATGACAAAAGCACAACATCATCTTCATTTATTATGTTATTTAGGGTATGTTTGGGAGTTTGAAGGGAATGAGAGGGAAAGGTTTTGAAGGTTAGTCATTGGAAGGAAAGGGAAGGAAACCCTTCTTATTTGGGAGTTACAAATTTTATAATATAGAGGTTATGAATGAGTATAATTAAAATCACTTCACATATATGGTGAATTAAATAATTGAATTTATATTTATTTAAAACTGAGCTAAAGTTGTCATTATTAGTTATCATCCAAAATCCCTCAATTTAAGGGAACTTGAAAATTGAGCATTTGAAGGGTTTTGGAGGGTTATAAAAGCCCTCCAAAACCATCCCCTCCATATTTTTAAACTCTCAAACATGAAAGGGAGGGTCATAAACCCTTGTCAACCTTCCCTTCCCCTCCAAAATCCATCTCCCAAACATACCCTTAGGAAATATGGTCCTGCTTTATGTAGAGTTTAACCTAGGCGTATCTTGTAACCTTAGCTTTGGATGGTGCCGTAGTAAAAGATAAGGTCTTAAACTTTGGGTATTACTGTGCTTGTTTAAGGTGTCTTCTTATACCATTGACCATGATACTGTTAAAACAGACTCCACCAACAAGAGCCAAATCTCCCAAGCTCGGTAGAAAAAAGAGCTCACCTACCAGGGAAAAGACTAATGTTCATGGTGGCACACACCATATCAGATTGAGCTTGGATGAAAGAGTATCTCAGGAAGAACCTGGCAAAAGATTTTCTCATGTCAGTGTGAAAACCCCCCTGAGGAAGTCCCTTCCGAAACTGCCATCTGAAAAGACCAATGTGTCAGGAGAAATAAGGAAAGCTCCAGCTTGCAGAGCTACTACCTTGAATACGGAGATAACTGATATTGCTTCTCATCCAAACACTGCAGCCAGTGTAGATACTGAAGCCATTACACCTAACGGGGAGACTCAAGAAACAATAATAATGGATGTTGAGCAACCCGAGGCAGTAGCATTTGTGGAGACAATTCAAACTGAAGCAAATGATAAGTATGTTGTTGAAGCTTCATCACAGTCAACTGTTACCGAGGAATCCATCACAGCGGATCATTAAGAGCAAGAAGTGGAGTAAAAGATATCTTTCTTAAGCAGCAAACCATAAACCCATCTTTGCCAAAAATGATGGAATGGTATCGACAGAAGATTAAATGTGTTTTGGTTGTAAATGTGCGCTGTCTTTCAAGATTGCTGAGCTTCTCATTCAGAATTGTTAGCAGATTGTAAAACTAAAAGAGTACTGCTATTTGCACTATTTGTCAGTTGCAGGTTGTGTAGATCTGGGTTCTTGAGACCTCTCTTCCAGACTTCCATGATATTCATGACATTTTTTTTCTTGAAGTGCACAATTTTAGAACTTGGTTTGTGCTGGCTGTTCAAACAGGGATGACGAATGAGTGCTGTTTGTTAATGATTGTGTATCTATAAATTATTAAATGCTTCGTTTGTTTGTTGTTTAAGGTTACCTCATCATCTTATTTATTGACATTGGAAGAAACATTGATGTCCAAGAGTACATTTATATTTCATTTATACGATATACACAGTTTATTGGGCTTCATTGCGAAATTGGGGAACATGATGGCTTATTTTCTAGCATCATTATCAGTATTATCACAATTCATTTTCATAGTAGTGCATGCTAGTTTAGAAATCGCCAATACACATATTTTTTTCTATTATTAAATTCACATCGTGTTGAAGGATATTATGTATTGTGTACTGGCATTTAGACTGAATACATATTAGGAATCATACTATGTAAACCCTAATTGAAGTTATGACACACCTCTCGCGACACATTGCTTATTATTAACAGCTAATGTACTAGTAGATCATAATTATATATCATCTCAAAGTATTAGCAATGATAAAAACAATTTATATAAATGTACATCATCATCATCATCATCATGAGTTGGCAATATATGAAATCAAACATGAAAATCCGACTATCAAGTAGTGAGGATTGGTTGCAGAAACCGAGCTTTGGTTCCAAGGACTCGAGCTTTGGTGTCTGGGAAATATTCCACACGAGCCTGGATATTTCCATTTTCTGAAACTTGTATAGGGTAGGTAAGAAGATGGCCTGGAAGATCTTGTTGAAGCTCTTCACTTATATACAATCTCCAATTCTCCTCGGCTATTTCATTTACTCTCTTAACACCCTCTACACTTTCAGGGTGGAAAAACAAGTTCTCCATTTTGTTCATGTGCTCACCCCATAAGGTCATTCTGAAACCGAATATCTTCCCCATGGCGCGTTGGTTGTCGTGTGCTAGGTGCATTGGTTGGTACCCTCCCATCGCAATTTCCGAGTCCCGTGCACCATCCATTGAACGCTGGTTGATGTTAGCCGATCCAATTATTATGTACTCATCATCAACTAGCCAACAAAACATCATTGACATATTTAGTAACACCAACACATAAATAAATGTAATCAATTACAGGCACTTAGCCACTTCCTAGACTTCTCCACATTTCAAAAGGCATATGAAAAATACAGACCATTTTGTAAATGTAAATACACTAGTTTTTGTTATACTATAGTCATATTAAATCACGTTTAATTCATTTAGGCTATAATTTAAATGTGTAGTGACTCACCAATCATCATTTTGGAGTGGACATATATCATGAAGCGCCGGGATTCTTGAGCTCTGGCGTAATCGGAGCCGGGGCTGGGCTTCTCCGGAGGTGTAATCTCATCGGAGCCTTTTACTTCGCGATTTCCCAGGCAAAAGAACGTCAAGTATTCTCTCGGATCCGCAGAGAGGTTGGCCACCTTTAAAGCATTAGCTATATCAACATACATCATCTCCATCGTTCTCCTTTGCCAATCAAGAATCGCCTGCACTGATTCGCTCCCCGGCTCTCCCTCCGGCCACATCGGGATCACGACGTACACGGTGAACCTCTCCCCCGCCGCAATCTTGCTGACAATCTTCAAAGAGAGCTCCTTGGGGATCAAGTGTATGGCGCCAATGTCCTCCAGTTTGATCCCTGATCCATCATTCCATCCATATGAGCTTCCCAGGAAGTACTGGTTTTCAATGTAGATGAAGTTCTTGGCCCGGCGGATGGCGTTTATGTATGCATCCTGAATGCTCCTATCAATAACATGGGTTTTACCCGTTACCAACCCCAACTCTTTTGCCGTTTTCGGGTCCCTCGGAAAACCCTCCGCGTCATTCCCGTCAATAGAACGGAAGATCTGAACCTTCCACCTCTCAGTATCATCCGACACGGTTAAATGCTGTGGTTGAATAATGTTCCGATCCTCGAGTTCCTTTTTGGAGAAAGTGGAGGTCCGGCCTTTGAGTGTCATCCATCTCTGTTCGAAATTGAAGAGGACGTCCCATGAAGCTTGCCCTTCCAGCCTGCAATGGATGTCGTGCCATGGCTCCCTCGGCCCGCCTTTCACGAATGACGCGCCAGGGAAATTCGGCTGGTGGAAATCCTCCTTGTCTAACTTCCTAAACACAGAATGCTCCCTGGTGTCATACCGGCCGTCGCAGAGATCGATCCCGCCGAGGAAGCTCACAATCGATCGTTTCCCGTCGGACCCGCCCTGAAGCTCGCAATCGGTAATCACCGTCTTCTGATGGTGAGTGAAGAGCGTTGTCCTCGTCGTAGCCTCAATGTCCTGGAGAAGCTCGCTGCCGGCGTCGGCATTCCGGGGGCACAGAACACATTCTACAGCGGTATTAGCGAAGAATTTGCGGGTATCTTCGTCATGAGTTGCCATCACCCCAACTCTGTGGATATACTCACTAGATGTCCTGTCGTCCCAAACCAGGAGAAGAACCCTAACGCCCTCGCCGGCTTTCTTCTTCAGCAGATCGCCGAGAATCATGTCCTGGCCGGGGAGAGCCTGAGATCTGGCCGGGTCGGGTCTAACCAGCCTGATTTTGACGTAGATGGACCAACCCGCTATGTAAATAAAGTGTTGGGCGTTAGCGATGGCGTGGGAAATGTCTTCCCAGCACCTCCGGGCGGGTTCCTGCCATTGATACCGGCGATGGTGAAAAGGGGTGAAAACAGAGAAATTGACGTCATCGTAATGCGGGACATGGGCGTCGGCGTAAAGGGTGACTCTGCAATTCTCTCTCTGGGCAAAATAGGTGTTGGGTACGCCCCGGAAGTCATAATCGGGTCGGATTTGGATCCCTTTAGACCAGTGCTCGTCCCTTTCCACGCCGAAGAACTGGAATTTGACGTGGATCATAGCTTTGCCCGGGATGCGCCGCCCGTTTTTATCAAATATAGGGATTGACTTGTGGACCTCCTTCGCCGCCGCATTTGTATCCAAAAGTTCCTCCACCGGGAGGCGGGCTCGGCCGATGAGCGATGCATCGACGGCGTCGTCGAATTTGACGGTGAAAATGATGCTGGATATTTTGTGGGCACAGTAGATGTCAAAATTTTGGTTCCATTCGGGGCCGGAATTAGTAGCACTGATGACTTGGGTTCGCCCTACTCTCGCCCTGTCCAGATCGATGGTCGCATAGATGCCATTTACCTGATGAATAAAACTTAAGTAAATTGAACTAAAAAATAAAAATACTCCATTTATGTTGATAATATTAAGAACAATAAAATTTACTCCGTCTATTGTAAGTCAATATTTAATGAGGTGTGATATAAGTATTCCAATTTTGCATATATAATATACTACCTCCGTCTCGCAAACAAGTTCTCGGATTGACTTTCACATATTTTTGTGAAATAAATTTACTGAGGGGTAAATTTTACTGTTTCGACACTGTTTTGACACTGTTTGGCACTGTTTGACACTGTTTTGCACTGTTTTGATGTAGATAATTTGCCAAATAAGGAAATGAGGAGTTTATTTTTGGGACATCCAAATAAGAAAAGTGGGAACTTGTTTCCGGAATGGATGGAAAATATATATCATGCACTTTATATAAAATTTTATTTTCGCATCATGATGGTATATTTTTTTACAAATACAAATTTATTGGAGTAATAATATAATTTAAAATAATCTACTTTCTTAAAATGCAATTAAAATTCTAAAATTTCATTTATGAAATAATTAATATTACATCCAGTTTAATTAAATCTTAATTACATCCTCATAAATGTTTTGTGTATTTTAAATGTTTTATATAACTTTTTATATAAAGTATGAGATATTTATCTCACACTCATTCAAAGTTTGGGATATTTAAATTAGTTTCTCCTTGTTTTTATGAGGAAAATTGTAATTACTTCTCCCATGTGAAAAGGGGTAGTGCAACAATGTATACATCCATATATAGAGGTCCTTTTGGAGACTCTTATTTTCTACTCCGTATTTATTAGGCTAATGTGTTAACTACTCCCTTTGTCCCTTAAAACTTTGTCAAGTTTGACCGGCACAAGGATTAATAAAATAAAAAAATGTGTGGTTGAGGTTTGTGCAAAAAACAGAGAATTAACTGGAACCATAAATTCTTTACTTTAAAGAGAAAGTGACAAAGTTGATGGGACATCCAAAAAGGAAAGTTGACAAAGTTTTAAGCGGCGGATGGAGTATGAAACACTAAAAAAAATGGATACCAACATAAAAAAAAAATTAATTACTTTGCTTTGATAATTTAGAAAACATGTTTCATTCATAATTTAAACTAGGAGACGTAATGACGTATAACCACTTTAATTTTAATTTGCTATTTTAACCACTTTGAAAATATCAGGACTATCCATGTTTTTCCACTTTTTCGTTCACTTTTTCAGTTTTTTATGCAGTTGACAATTGGCATTAAGTAGAGATATAGCTGCAAAGCCATTATCAAAATTTAAACTTGTGGTATTTTCATCTTTTATTCATCCAAAGTTGTTACTCGTAAATTAAAGCATTATGTACTTAAGTTTGGTTCAATTCACCTCTAAAATAAAATGGAATATAATATCAACATAATTCGAAAAAAAATGATGAATAAGAAGCTCCATACGTAATATATATACGAATGGTATAAATAAACTTATAGCTAGAGAAAGGGTATGTATATATACCTCAGAGCGGCATAATAAGAATCTCTTGATTATGTTTAGAACGTATGCGCTCCACGATTGAGTAGAAGCACTCTTCAAATTTCCAAAAAGGAACAAGTCAATCTCGACATATATACGCAATACAGGAAACATATACGTAGTACTCGGTATGAACAATATCATAAGATTGGAAGATGCATCCTTGAAATCGTTATTATTGTTGTAATTTTGCCCCCAAAAAGTAAAAACCAATATGGAATATTTTGTTGGTTAGTAAGAACCCGGGTTTTGCCCGGCCTGACGAACTATTGAAAGTTCGACACATGGTAAATAAAAGTATAAAAGACCTATACAGTTAAATAAACTAGTAAAGTTTTACCATTTTTGAATAATTATTTCAAAATGGGAGAAGGGGCATATTGCTCACTAAGGTTTGGATAAAAGAGCACATTAGACACTTAGGTTATTTTAGGAGCAAATAAGTTAATATTTAAGCTTTTGAGTGCATAACACTCACCCACTCACGGATGTAACTAACCCCGTTTGCTTTCACCATAGTTT